CAGCGGCGCAAGATGGCCCAGGAGAACCCCAAGATGCACAACTCGGAGATCAGCAAGCGCCTGGGCGCGGAGTGGAAACTTTTGTCGGAGACGGAGAAGCGGCCGTTCATCGACGAGGCCAAGCGCCTGCGAGCGCTGCACATGAAGGAGCACCCGGATTATAAATACCGGCCCCGGCGGAAAACCAAGACGCTCATGAAGAAGGATAAGTACACGCTGCCTGGCGGGCTGTTGGCCCCCGGCGGCAACAGCATGGCGAGCGGGGTTGGGGTGGGCGCCGGCCTGGGCGCGGGCGTGAATCAGCGCATGGACAGTTACGCGCACATGAACGGCTGGAGCAACGGCAGCTACAGCATGATGCAGGACCAGCTGGGCTATCCGCAGCACCCGGGCCTCAACGCGCACGGCGCCGCGCAGATGCAGCCCATGCACCGCTACGACGTGAGCGCTCTGCAGTACAACTCCATGACCAGCTCGCAGACCTACATGAACGGCTCGCCCACCTACAGTATGTCCTACTCGCAGCAGGGCACCCCTGGCATGGCGCTTGGCTCCATGGGCTCGGTGGTCAAGTCCGAGGCCAGTTCTAGCCCCCCTGTGGTTACCTCTTCCTCCCACTCCAGGGCGCCCTGCCAGGCCGGGGACCTCCGGGACATGATCAGCATGTACCTCCCCGGCGCCGAGGTGCCGGAGCCCGCCGCCCCCAGCAGACTTCACATGTCCCAGCACTACCAGAGCGGCCCGGTGCCCGGCACAGCCATTAATGGCACACTGCCCCTCTCGCACATGTGAGGGCTGGACAGCAAACTGGAAAGGGGAGAAACTTTCAAAGAAAAACAAGGGAAATGGGAGGGGTGCAAAAAAGGAGAGTTAGAAACAGTATGGAGAATAACCTGGTACGCTCAAAAGAAAAAAAAATCTCATCACCCACAGCAAATGACAGCTGCAAAAGAGAACACCAATCCCATCCAAACTCACGCAAAAACCGCGATGCCGACAAGAAAACTTTTATGAGAGATCCTGGACTTCTTTTTGGGGGACTATTTTTGTACAGAGAAAACCGGGGTGGGGGGGTGGGGAGGGTGGGGATTGGACCTTGTATAGATCTGGAGGAAAGAAAACTACGCAAAACTTTTTAAAAGTTCTAGTGGTACGGTAGGAGCTTTGCAGGAAGTTTGCAAAAGTCTTTACCAATAATATTTAGAGCTAGTCTCCAAGCGACGAAAAAAAAATGTTTTAATATTTGCAAGCAACTTTTGTACAGTATTTATCGAGATAAACATGGCAATCAAAATGTCCATTGTTTATAAGCTGAGAATTTGCCAATATTTTTCAAGGAGAGGCTTCTTGGTGAATTTTGATTCTGCAGCTGAAATTTAGGACAGTTGCAAACGTGGAATGAAGAAAATTATTCAGATTTGGACATTTTAATTGTTTAAAATTGTACAAAAGGAAAAAAAAATAGAACAAGTACTGGCAAAACCATCCCTGTGGTCTTGTTGAAAGGGCAAAAGTTTTAGATTGTACTAAATTTTTTAACTTACTGTTAAAAGCAAAAAAAAAAAAAAAAATGGCCATGCAGGTTGACATCGTTGGTAATTTATAATAGTTTTTGTTCAATCCCACCTTTCCATTTTGTTCAGATAAAAAAATGAAATTACTGTGTTTGAAATATTTTCTTATGGTTTGTAATATTTCTGTAAATTTATTGTGATATTTTAAGGTTCCTCCCCTCCTTATTTTCCGTAGTTGTATTTTAAAAGATTCGGCTCTGTATTATTTGAATCAGTCTGCCGAGAATCCATGTATATATTTGAACTAATACCATCCTTATAACAGGTACATTTTCAACTTAAGTTTTTACTCCATTATGCACAGTTTGAGATAAATAAATTTTTGAAATATGGACACTGAAATTATGTTTGAGTCTTTCATTTATTTGGATAACACTGATTATACATAACTTCTTGGGAATTGTAATACTGTATTCAGCCACGAAAGCAAAATGCCAAAAACCTTGGTATTAATAGTCCAGCAGCATGTGCTAATGTTAACTGAAAAGAGAGAGAGAGAGATGGCTGGTTGATTAATAAGTACTCTGGAAAAATTGAAATGCTTATGTCATTTCTAAAATAGAAACTAGAGACATATATTGTAAATCCACCCCCTCCTTTTCTAAGCAGCATGAATAAGCATGATGGGGACTTATACTTAAACTGATTTGTGCCACTTGTTGCCAGAAAGGAGTCAATTCTGAAATTTTTCATGTAGCTTAGCAGATGGGGTATTGAGCCAAATCAGAACCAGGTTGGCTGGTTTTGTCTTCATTTTCTTCACAGCACAATGGCCCTTTGAAACCTGGTTATAGGGGGAAATGATGCTTCTTGTATCGGAATAATTGCAAACTAGACATGCAAAGTGTTCATCTGCTGGGTGGGTGTTTGGATTACTCTGGCCCTGCTATTGTCTGAGAGGAAACAAGTGGTTTGCTTTCTTTGTTCTTTGACTTCATAAACTTTCTCCTCTACATTTTCCTGTTTAGAGCAAGGGAAAGCAAAGAACGTCTTGCAAAATTCCCCGACTTGCCATGGATGTAGTTTTTTTTTATTATTTATTTTCTTTTTTCTTTTTTTTTTTTTTTTCCTTTCTCTCCCTCCCTGAATTCCATTTCTTAAATTGGCAGCGTGGGTCCAAGCCTGTAGCCCTAAATCGGATAATCTCTGCAGCTGATAACAAGCAAAAGAGAAGCCAGGCAACAGCCATATTACAGAAGAAAACAATCAACTCCGAGGTAGATATTTTACTTTGTCCGGTCTAATCACATTTGGAAATGATTATGCTTTTGATCTGTTAACTGTTTTACTACAGTAGTAGAGAAGTGGGGGGAGGGGAAAGGGTGGAGAAACAAGATTGGATTTGTTGTTTTCTTTTGCCCTAGGAAAGGTAAAGAAAGGCTTTAGTTGTCCTCAGTGGGAGCGGAAAAGTTGGGAAAATCGACATGGCCTTTGAATTAGCGATGCTCCAGTATCGCAACCAACTCGCGCTTTGGCGCCGCCGGAGAAACTGTGACCTAGTCAGGGACTTTTTTATTTACTACTTGCTTCGCTCATCTTCCCCCACCCAAGGGGACCAGGAACCAAGAGCCGGGCATTCTTAAGAGTGCAGGATTGCTTTCCACAATTTCAAGAGCTTGTCGTGTCAACTTGCTGCAACTTTGGAGAAGTTGGAATCCGGCAGCGCTTTCCACCCTTGAGTAAAGTACCCGCAGCAGCCGCTAAGTTAGCTCATCCTATTGGTTTGCATCTTCTCATTTCCAAGAAAGTGTTGCTAAATGTTGGGTCTAGGTTGAACTAGGAATGTCTCATTTTCTGTATTTTAGCTTATTCGGAATTGCTTTATTTTGTAACTTGGGGGCTTTATTTACTTCTTTATCCTCATTTTAAGGGTAATGTTGTACTGGGAAGGGACAGTTATTCCAGTTCCCAATTCTAAGCGAGGCATTTTCCCCCCTAATTAATGCAGAGACTCTAAAAGAATTTCCCCCGGCCTGGCCAGCCATTGTAATGCATATACGGATTATTCACGTGGTAATGAGCACATTCGCCAGTTCTTGCTCACACATACGAATAAAAGAAACTTTGAATAAAGATCCAAATGAACGTGCTGGGGGTGTGGGGTGGATATCCCCGGAATTTTAGCCAATCAATTTGATATAGAATGTATATATTTAAAAAATAAATATATGCTAGGGAAAAAAAAAAAAGACCTGCAGGATCAGACTGAAAAGCAAAGTTTTGGCAAAATGTTCACGTTCAAATATTTTGCAAGCAGAAAGGGAGCACAATATTTTAGAAGTTGATATAGTTTTTACAGTGGTTGTCACTGTATTTGTATTACACAGGATAACTTGCCATTTCCCCTCCCATCCAACCATATCTGCAAACCAAGTACTTGAAAAATAGAAGCCAAAATATTTTGTTTACAAATATAAATTCATTTGATAAACTGCATCTGAAGAAAACCATACAAATTTCATTACATCATTCATTTGATCGAGTAAAATAGTTCTCCAAGTTGTATCATTTCATAGTTAGATTAATATTAACAATACAGTATTTTAGCAACAAATGTGATTTTAACAAAAAATATTCTGAAGATAGCTACTGAGTATTTAGTTCTTTCCTTGGGATATGATTCAGCTCAAGGAAACCACTTTTCAGTCAAAGGGGGTGAATTTAAATGTTTTGTTAACCTTATAAACAGACTAGAAATGTGCAAAAGGATGAGAGTATAGTCAGTTCTCTGCATTTTTTTTTTCTCTTCCTGCCCTGACCCCCACCCCCATACTTTAAATAAAGAACGTTAAAATATTTTTGCTGAGCTGTAGTAGATTAGCAAGGTTTCTTTGCCAATGCTGGAAAGCTGGTATTACAGACTGTCCCAGGGGAAAATGGCTCACATTAACCACTAAATGAATATTTGACAAGGGCTCATTCGGAGGTATTATTACTATAAACGTGTCCCTACTGGACTTTTCAAGGGTCAAAGAGCAACGCTTCAATTAATTATTTAGACTGCTAGTAGATTTGGTTGTAATAGCTGTACTTATTTCTAGAAACCGACACATTCTTACAGTAGGAAAAATCTCTGGAGAATCTTCTCCATCAGCAACCCCTTAGATTGAAAAACACATGGACCCCTGGCATTCTAAAAACTGACTTTTTTATTAAACCTTATCCGGGGCTGGGGGAAGGAATTATGGCCTCTTTTTCTACATCATAGACTATTTTGAGTTTAAAACGGGAGGGGGGAGGACATAACCATTTATCTTAATTTCCACATCATGTCTGGCAAGGTCTTTTAGGGATTTGCGATGTGGGGAGAGAAGAGAGGGTGTTTATTTATAACCTTTGCCTTTTCTAAGTAGCAGTGTCACAGGATTTCAGAGACCCAGGCAGGCCCCTGAATTTAGACAGGATCCACATTCCTGTTTGCCAGGAAAAATCTGAGGTTTTAAATGGAAAGCTCCATAGATTGAGTGCCCTGAGTTCTAATAGTGGCAGAGTAAATTGGGGTGCAAGGTGTAGTTCTTCCTTCCCTCCCACCTATTGGTCAGAACACTGCAAGGTGCATGAGGAGGGGCAGGGTTGCATTTTTGCCATGTCATAAGTTCTTCCTTGGCCCTAGGTAAGCTGGTAAGGGAATGATTTTGGAAGTAGATTCCTTGACAATAATATAAATTGAATGAATAAGAGATAAGCTGGTGGGGGGGGCGGTGGAAGCAGTAATTACAAACCCAATTCATTCAGCTTTTCAGAACTTTTGTTATGGGAGTTCCATTGACGGGTTTTGAGCTGCCAGTTTTCTCACATTAAAAGGAACTGATCAGCGCCTCAGGGGGACAAGGAATACCGCTTAACTGCATAGTGATGGGGTCTTCATTTAGCACCATTACAAGAAGAAAATTAAACAGTGCCTTTGTGTGCACGAGGTTTACTTTTCAACTGCTAACAGTTTATAGCTAACTGCTCTGAGATTGAAGTTTGACTATGGTTTGATCGCCTGTGAGTTGGCACTGCTTATTTATTTATTTATCTGTTGTAATTGAAAGAGCTTTCTACCCACTACGACCCCCGCCCCCTTTCATTTCTTGAAGAATTTTTTAAAAACAGGTCCTCATATTTTTCCTTGTGGAAGGAGTTTCCTTTGCCATGAGTTCATTTTGTGAAGACTTGAGCTCACATTCCCCCCCCCACATAATTGCTTTAAAATAATTTGCATCTCTATTTTTTTCTTTCTTCTTTCTTTCTTCCTTCTCCTCCTCCTTCTTTTTCTTTTCTTTTTCTGCTGCATTTCCTTGCTCTCAGAGCTCAAGCTTTTCAGGCTGCAACAGTGGTTGAGGATGGAGTATGACTTAATATTCTTTGCTTTCTCTTTTGACCCAAGTTAGAAGCTGTCTGGGTGGATCTCCCTAGGGACTTTGTCTATGAGGTGAATACCTTAAAGAAGGGAGAAGGGGGAAATACTGTGATCTTTACTATGAAAATCTGGATAAAGTCCAAAGGGACATCACCTCCGGAGGTCTGGAGTAAAAAGCTGTGGAAGGAGCTTTCCAAATACAGGGAAATTACCCAAACCAGAGAAATTAATTTTGTGTTTTTCATAGTTATTTTCTATTAAAAACTTTCCTGGAAGCCTAATGTGTAATACCCATCACGGGAGGCTTGGTATCTCCTCTCTTTCTTCTGATGATGCTGTCCAGTTTTACGATTCTTGTTTTCAGTTCGTATATTTTTCTTCTGTGGCCTTTAGAAAAGAATGGACTTGACTTTTTTGTTTTGATTAAGGAAACCTCTCTTTGGAAAGGTGGATTATTAAGATAAGTCTAAGATTTCTCATGACAGAGAGCTCTCTGTGTGCAGATGGATTTTATATTATATTTTGGTTTAATGTGATGTTTCTGATTCCTGGAGCACTGACCTCAGTTTTTCTCGCAAAACAAAAAGAACATCCCTTTATTTGAGAGTAAAAATAGTTGCTGCTTCTAGGCATTTGGACTAGAGATGCTTTTTCGACTTTGCAAAGAAGCACCAGGTGTTTTAATAGCTCAGAGAAGCCCATCGTTTCATTACCATCGTCTGCCTGCGTGTTCAGGATAAAGTGTGCACTGCTTTACAAAGATTTCGGCTCTTTGAAGTATCATTTGCTTCCTTCTCTCGGCTTTGGTGCGGGTGCGGCTCTGGGCTGTGACTGCGCGGGCCTCCCGCTGGCTGCCTAGGGGAGCGCTCAGTGCCCAGCGGACGCGCGCGGGAAGATGCGGCCTAGGCCGACTAGCACCGGTCGGGACTTGGGATTTGACGTCACCACTGCCCCCAGGGTCTCCCCAGGAAGGTGCTGTATGGGGCTCGAGTTCTCTCTGCCGAGGCTTTGCCAAAACGGTTGCATCTCCTCTCCCATAACCCTGTATGGTCCCAGGTCGGGCAAGTGTAGAAAATCTCCGGAGCTGTTGGGATTCTCACCGCTCCAGAGCCTTCTGCCTCCTGAGACCTCCTGACCCCTGAGATGGTTTAGGCCCCAAACTTTCCAAATCAAATCCTGCCTTCTTGCCGCTTACCACAACCCTTTTCTTTTGAAGGGTTGTTTGTCCCTGTTTGTGACCATATCTCAGAATTAGTAATCTCTTTCCTGCCAGATCAGAGGTGGTGGATTGGCAGGGGTGTGAGAAGGGATGGAAGCATTCTGGGCTCTCCAGAATATTATGCCCTTCTAGGGTCAGAGCAGGTAGGAATGGGAAGACACAGAACCTTCACTTTCTCATTTTTAAAATAGCTACTACATATTTATTTTACAGAAGATGAATGTAAAGAACCTGACACAAAATAAGCTTAATTCATAGCTACGATTTTCTAACTGTCCGGCAGAATTAGATGATGGGGAAGGGAAGCAATTCTTGTATTAGACTCCAGAGATAGATACAGAAATTGTGATCCTGTCTCTCCTTGTTGGTCCTGGGTAGTGAAATAAGATTTGTCAGACTACCCTTCTTACTTTTCCAAGTGCTCTTTTTGACTTAGGGTTGGTCTAAGAAGTTATCTTGCAAACTTGCCATCCCTAGGTATCTTCCTGAAGGGAAGGATCCTGGCATTTCGGTTAGCAGCCGCCCCCTCCCGCAGAAGGCAGAAAAATAATTACTATATTAAAAGGAGCAGTGAATTCTTCCCGAGGGTTCTTATCGCTGGCGGCCAGGCCAGAAGCCGGACTGCGCCCCAACCCCCACCTCCACCTCCACCCCCACCCCGTGACGTCAGGGCCTTCAGGGCCTTAAGGATGAAATGATTCCGTTGAGGGTTCCAGAAAGGGTAATCCAAACGCTGGCAGGACCAGGTCAGTGGAGCCGGTCTCCATCACCACTACCCAGCCCAGCTCTGGAGGCTCCAGAGACTCCTCGCCCTCTAGAGTATAACCAAATACACAAGTAGCCAGAGCCTCACATACATTACACTCATCAGCCAGAGGAGCACCCTTTTCTCTTACAAGTAAACGTTCAAAGTTATCTGATTTGCTAGCTAGAATTTGTTGTGGGATCTGTTGTGGTTTTGTCGTGCTTATGTTTGTTTTCTTGTCAGATGCTAGACAAAATTACAGAAAAAAAAAAAAAAAACAACTCTTTACACTTTGCACCATAGCTTTATTTTATTTAAGCCCACCCAAGTTTAAGCAGTGATTTAAGATTTGGACTTGGAAGTGTTTTTTGCTTCTGATATCACCATGATTAGGACAGTTGTCTGACATACCATTGCTATTATAATTGCTGTGCCCTATCTATTTTCTCTTTTCTGCTCCTAGTAATTTGTATAGCTTTTAATAATCTTTTTAGAATCAAGTATTGATAAGAGAACTTCTAGGAACCATTACTTAAATTGTAGATAAAAACCATTTTGGGGGGGTGGAATTCATATAAGATTTATTTATAAAACTATTTGTTGGTGGAAAAGCATCTTGCACCTTAGCATTTTGGGAAGATGAACTTCTAAAGTTTTCTTTCCAACTTTCAAATCCACTTAAATCATTAAATTAGTGCCCCTCCAATGAGAAGCATTCTGGAAATTGGGCCTTATGTTCTCATATTGGACCAGAACCTCACAGAGAATACCTTTATAAGAATTAGCCAATATTTTGCATGCAGCTAGTTTACTCTCAATTGACATCCTGGCTGATTTGACTATCACACTTAACAGCTCAAATCTAGGTTATTAAATAACATTACAATTCAATCAGAATGAAATACTAACTGGCAAACCTGTCTTCTCCTCAAAGTCCTCCTCCCTTTCTATTTCCCCTTCCCTCCATCTCCAAGGAAAATATCTCAAAATCAAGTTTCCCTTGAAGGTTTATTTACCCCCAACTTCTGTTAAACTAGACTAACACTCTCTCATCAGCTTTCTAAACACTCTCTCATCAGCTTTGTGAAATGGTGTAAAAACATCTTGGAATCCAAGATGGCAAAATAAACCTGGGCATATGGGGAAGACTTCATTGTTAGGAAATTGATTTAAATGTTTAACTCACACTTCAGCCTCAATGCTTCCCTTACTAACTGCTCTTTCTTCCCTCACTGCCTGCTCCCAGTTCTTGGGTACCCTACCTCTATTAGCAAGCTGGTTCCCCCAGCATAAATTATGAATGCATATCAAGCAGGCCCTTCTGATAAGATAAATCAGAGGCTATTCTCTTTTTGCACATTTCTGCTTTTATTCCCATGGAAACTTCTCCCTACCCCACAAGCAGTGTCTTTCTACAAACTTACTCTCCCCATATAAACTATAGTGGTATGTTCTCGGTAGGAAAAAATCAGGTAATTTTTCCCCCAGGAAGCCTTACAAGTTAAGGATACAAAATATTTCATGGTTAGTTGTATGAGCTTCCAAATTAGCTGCATATAAAGTATTTTAAGTTTTTTTTTTTTTTGGCTGTCACTGGCTGGCAATACTCATTTTGTGTGTGTGTGTTGGTTTGAAAAGCAGGAAGAAATGTAATGAATTGAGTGCTGTCAGAGATGTCTTCTGTTTGAACAATCTGCGATGGGCTGAATGGCAGGGACTCCCTCATCCAGTGCAGGTGCAGTAGAGCTGGGGAAGGGGGGAGGGGGGCTCCCTCTGTTCAGTCAAAAAGCACCATTCTCCACAATAGACCACACACTGACAGCCAGCGTGACATCAACTCACACTTTCATACTTTTTCCCCTATCCATAGTTCTGAGTTCACAAAGTGGCCATACACTAGCCTTAGTTAGGTTCCTTTAATGAACATTTTGTGGCTCCTGTGGCCAACATTGAAATGTGCTGAGCCCTCAGAGGAACAAATAGATTTTTAATCGTGAGTTCCAAACCAAAATGTATAGCTATAGATATTAAAAATCAGCTGGTCTCTCCACTCTCTCCCAATATCAATGTTCATGACAGTCCCAGATGAGCTATAATCCAAAAACTCCCAAGTTAAAGGTTTCTCTAAGGCTACTTAGGTTCCAACACCCTGTCTTCCATGTCCTGAGAGATCAAACAGGAAAAGAGAGAAGGCATGAATTTCATGTATTTATTTAAATGTAAAAGGACTTCTAGTATTTTATTATACTACGTGAGAGAGCTAATCCTGCAAATGAACAGACATTAATCTTGTGGAGTGGAGTCCTGTCCCCTTTTGAATCACTTATACTGGGGAGGAAAAGATAGGGGTTAGGAAAGGCAGTAACTATTTTAAAACTCTGGACAAAGATGCGACCCCCACTAGATTGCCCCACTGTAGAAAGGACTGTACCTTGCAAGATTTCATTTCACACTTTTACATGCCCAGTCCTTGGGGCCTCAAGTTTTAAACGGAATTATTCAAGAAGGGGACGCTTATTATTGGAGAAACTATCAATCCCTTCTTCTTGCCCCCTCCCTCACCCAGTCCCTACTCCCCTCTACCTCCACCCCTTTGCACTTTAGTCCGGGATCTGAACCCTTTAGCAGAATGAGGGAGGGGGAAATAAAGGGCTGCAGGCCAGGACAGTTGCCTCAGCACCACCGCCGGGCCGCAAGATCCCCGCGGCCCTGCCACTATCTGATTTCTCACTGTGCGGTGACTTGCTACAGCATCGCGCTGTGGAAAATTGCTCCTTGCTTACTTATTTTAAAAAACCACGTAGCCGTATACATTTTTCATGCCGCAACAAAAACATCAACTTTCCACTCCCCCTGAGCAAAACGTGTTTATCTTTCTCCTAAACATCGTTCAGTGGGTGGGAGCAGGAATAGACAGACATCTCAGGGCAGCGGTCACAAGACCCTCCACCTATCCCTCAGCGTGGAGACCAGGAGCCCGGGGTCTGGCAGGGTGGGGCAGGGGAATTTGATGTGCAGGGAGAGTTAAGGTCAAATTCTTTTAAACCTCAAATAGCACCGGGAAGAGATGGGTAAGAGTGCTAGAAGCCCCTTACTGTGACTACTACGGGTCCCCGTGGCCCATTGTGGGTATGCCTATGGCGCCTACTAAAGTCTAGGCCTAGGGCGAGAGACGCTTCCTGCCCCTAGACCCACAGCCCGCAGCTACTTGATAGCTAACGTGTCTTCCGGCCGGTACACACCCACAATTAATCTTTCTTATTAAAGCCTCCATTCTGTACCCAAGGGGCGACTCAAACCTATTTAGATTTCCTTGGTTGGCTGCACAAATTTAAGTGGGCAAAGAGTTATAAACCTAATAACAGAGGGCGCGCGAGAGAGATTGAGATTTGAGTAGAGAAGACGAAGGATTCGCTAGGGGTGTAAGGATGCTGTGGGCCTTGCCCACCCGGTGCATCTACCTCAAGGTGCACAGCAGGCTCTGGGAAAGGCAGCGAACCTCACGGGCACAACTCACACACATCTGTACACACACCTACACCCGACCCTTTTCGCTCACAGGTAGCTTGCATGAAGAAGCCTCTTCGGATTTCTCAAAAGCCCCTCAGAAACGCGGGATTCTTAGAGTATCCCAAATCAGGGACCTCGCAGAGAACCAAGGAAGGTTTGCACTGTTTGGGATTAATTGAGAATAATTAACACTGGAGACCGTTAATCACCACTTTGCTGCTCTCTGCCTCCTTTCGGGTCTGCGGCGTCTGCCTCTTTCGCTCCCGCTGCCGACGCGGGTGGGTTTGCTGGTGAAAGTGAAGACGTCGCGGTAGCTGTCACCCAGTTCGGCTGTACTTTTTTAAACGCTCGCATATTGTTTGATTACTAATTCGAGTTAATATGATCTTTATGGCAACATAACAGTGGATAATTGGCCTTTTTTTCTGAACAACAATGTAAATCACAATCGCTTTATTATTTAATAACGTCAAACGCTTCGTTGGATTGGCCCCGACCGAGAAGACCTTTTCTTTCTAGACAGTGTTGTGGAGGAAGAACAATGAAGATCTAATTGTGGAGATTTCATAAGTTGGCTCCCGTAAATGAACAGCTTAGATATGGAAGTTCCAGCAGATGTGGGCACTATTCGCTGTAGAAACTCTATCCCCACCCCCAACATACACAGTCCAAACATTCTATTGGAGGTTTGTGTGTGTGTGTGTGTGTGTGTGTGTGTGTGTGTGTGGTGGTAGTGGTGGTCCCCAGATCCTAGCAACCACCTAAAGTTTCCAGTAGTAATTAGAGCTTTTATCGGGCTTGCTCTTCAGCCCTTTATATTGCCGATTTAGCATTAAGGCATTAAGTCCACACACCAAATTAGAGTGACTCCCAAATAGCCACAACCACTTATGCGCCCTTTAGGTCAGTTTTTTTTGTTGTTGTTGTTGGACGCCAAGGACAAGGTCCTGTATTTTGCTTTGTTTTATTTTATCTATCTATTTATTTATTTAGTCTTGCTTGGTTTTGATTTGGCTTTTTTGGATAGAATCACTTGGAATAGACTTTTTTTTTTTTTTCAGGGAGAGTTTTGCAAGGGATACAAGCCATAATTTTGCAAGTGCATGGAAGAGCAGAAGAAACCCAAAGACCCCCTTAAATGAAAACGGCAATACTTGGAAGGAAGGGTCTCACTGCTTGAAAGAAAAAAATAATCAGATTTGCCCCCAAAGCCCCCATTCTAACGGTATCCATCCGGGCTTTTGCGGTCGGAGGACCGCTGTCTCTGGGGTCTTCAGACTTTGTAGTCTTTTTTTGCAAATGGAAAGCCCCCACCATTGAGAATTTGGGTCAAGGAGAGAGACTCAGAACCTACAGCAGTTTTTGTTTTTGCGTGTGCCCGCCTCTCCATTTTATGCAACTTCTCTTGCTTGTCGGGAAGCAGAACAATTCGCTCCCCACCCACCCCCCTCCGCCCCGCTTCTAAGATAAACAGGAGGTGAGAAATGCTTTGCCTGCACACGCGCCCTAGGGGCCTCCTCTCCCTTCACACACTGCCCCCCCCCCACAACCTTGCAGCTGTCCCCGAACCAGACCTGGTGGAACATACCCCTTCTCTCTTCCCACCCGCATTTCAAAACCATCACATTGACTATTCTACAGCCATGTTCACATTTTCAGCCCTCTTTGCCACTAGCCAATTTGTTCCCGGTCTGCTCCCTCCCCCCTTACTGAGAACCTCAAAAGTGAAAGATTGAGGAATTAGGAGAAGGCAGTGGGTTTTCAAAATGTACCCCCCATACACCGCACCCCTTTTGAAAGTATTTTGCCACAAGGAGT